ACACAATGCCGCGTTTTTTAAAAAGTTGTTGTTTTTTTCATGTTTTGGTAAATACGTGTTGGTTGTTGTCATGATAATTCTCATGCCATTTTAAAGTTTTTAATTTTGCTGTGAAATTAATATTAATTTCTTTTTTCGGTCATAATTCCAATGCAAGGTGATCAACTCAAGGTTACGTTTGGGACACGAATATTATTTGAACGGGTCCCACACTCACAATAATGATGAATTGATTTCTTTACTACATGAATATTCCTCATGTACTTCGAAATATAATCAATTTGATTTATACTAAAATATTTTTCACTTTAAACAAAAATTCTGCAAACACTATAAAATGCAGTTTTCAACTCTGCAGCACTATTTTTTATGCAATAAATTCGAATTACAACTACACTTTATTTTAAGTAACACTATTAAAATGAAAATTTTTTTTTTATTAAAATTCTTTTATTTTTTAATTTGGATTTTTTTTTTATTTATAATGCTATTATTTTTTTAAGTAACATCCAAGTGCAATTTATCTATCTATCCTTCACAATCATTTATACTAATGCAAAATTTGTGTTTTTTTTTCCCCTAAATGATTGTGATACAAAAATGAGAATGTATGTACAAGTACAATTGAAAATTGTGATTTAGAATCTTTAAATTTAGTATTTTTAGAAATTTTCATCTTGTAGCGTTTTAATTGAAATTATACTGCAATATTAAAAAATAAATAATTTATTTTATTAAATTTAAAAAAAAAAGTTTAATTTTTCAAATCGATTAAAATCGCGTTTAATTAAATCGATTATAAAATTTCAATAATTTTAAAAATTATAAAAATTACAAGAAAAAAATAGAATTTCTTAAAAAATTTAAAGGAACAATTTTTAATTACTTTACAGTTGCTTATTATATAAAAGTTAATAAATTAAGAAAAAAAAATCTTATAATTTAATTAAGTTGAAATGAAAAATAATACTTGTGATCTAGCAACATTAAATGCATTGATTTCATGTGAAAAATCATATCCTTCAATAAATTCAACATATTGGTCACCATCACCGAATCCATCACCCTATATGATACCAGGTTATTATTGTATTAATTAGTATTTATTGAAAATTTCATTATTAAATTTTTTGATTATTAATTATTGTATAAAATTTTGTATAAAATAATAATAATTTGTTTTTTTTTTTTTTTATTTTATTTTAAAATTTATTGGTTCTTGTAATTAAGATGTGCAATGAATATTAGGGTAATCACATTGAAAAAAGTGACCCTATGAAATATGTTATACATGACATACGAGTATATAATGAGTACTTATTGTAAAGTAGATAATGATATATTGTGTTATACAAAGAAACTCACCACCTGGTGTAATTTTCTAATACTTTAAAAATGTATTACGTGTTTAAAATTGTTTTTATTATTATAGAAATAAGAAGATGTTGTTCTTTGAAAATGTTATGTCTAAATCCATTTTGAAATGTTGTAGTTAATTTTTGACTTCGAAAATGTCAGTAATTTGTGGTTTTTATATTAATATTATAGTGATATCTTTATATTTCGACATTCGAGTGCTTGTTGCTTAATAGATTCTTTAATTTCAACAATAAATTTTGCTTTACAAAACTATTTTTGGAATAATTTTCAGTACTGTAACCTATAGGAAATATAGAACGTTTTATAAGCGCGGTATTGAAAAAGTGAAGAAAAACTCTCAATGATTTTATGTTTTTAAGGATTTTAAGTCTAGAAAAGTCTATTACATATATTTAGGTATAAAATTATGCAATATTCAATATATTTGATAAAATTTGAATTAAAAATATTCTGAAATTTTTTCATTGGTAGCCATGAATTCTTGTCATGGCTTTTGCTTTTTAGCACTTTTCCAAAAATTTTTTGAAAAAAAGTGCTTATTAGTTTCACTCTGTCCGTCCGTCCGTCCGTCCGTCCGTCCGTCCGTCCGTCCGTCCGTCCGTCCGTCCGTCCGTCCGTCCGTCCGTCTGTCCGTCCGTCCGTCTGTCCGTGTGTCTGTTTACAAAACTTCTACACCCTTGAAGATAGAAAGCTGAAATTTTATATGTACAGAGATCTTTACTAGAAACTTATTTCTGTAGAACAAAATTTTTAGCTATCTCCTCCCCTCTAGAAGTTATACCCCCCCAAAACCCTAAAAATGGTCTTTTTTAACTATTTGTTGCAATGAAACCATAAGCATTTTTGAAATTTTGCAAACGCAGAAAAGCAGCGGCTTGCTTCCCCTAGCGCGGCATACTATATTTGAACTTTAGAAAAACAAAATGGCCGTTCAAATTTACCGTTATCTAAAGTCCTTTTTTTGCAAATTTTTGATGTCGTTTTTTTTCCAAACTACAGCCTGTAGAAGCTTGAAATTTTAGGAGCTTTTAGACATTATCAAATAGTTCATTTCGCTAGAAGAAAATTTTTTTCCATCTCCACCCCCTCTCAAGTTATCGCCTCTTGAAATTTGTAAAATTTGAATTTTTGACACCTTATATTTCCGAAACCGCAAGCTTTTTCAAATTTCTATTAACGCAAAAAGTTCACGGTAAATTCCATGAAATTAAAAAATATAATTATTTTTCTTAACTCACAAAATTAAACCTTAAAATCGAGCATTATGTTAACCCCACTTTATATTAATTTTTGCTTTATTTCAAAGACTGCATAAATCATTCATCCTAAATATATGCAACCCTAGAAATAGTTTTGTATATGAATGAAAATAATTTTAATAGTGTGATAGGTACATAGACTACATAGACTGTATTTAAAAGCAAAATTTTCATTTGTTGAAGGGAAAAGTGCTACAATACAAACCATTGGTTTGACCCAACTTTATTATACGTTAAAATAAAACTATTTTTAATTTTTTTCATAGAAATTTTTACGTGTTCAGAATACTTTTCAAACGTATTTTACAAGAGAAAATTTTAAATCCATTTGCCAATTTAAAATTATCTGTAATAAGTTCTAATTGCGTTTATTTTTAATTTTGCAATTAAAAAAAAAAAAATTGACATTATATGAGAAAAATAATCGAATTTTTATAAAAGTTTGAGAAAATGCGAAACTTGTAAGTGTAAAAATTTACTGAGTTAGATTTTATATTTTCATTTGAGTAAAAATTTTCGTTTTTGAGCAATAAAGAAGGCAAAATCCTAAATTCATATCAAATGTTATTAAAATTAAATAGATGTAAATAATTCTAATCATAAGATCTTAGATAGAAGGCTGAATTCTCGTAATGATTTCAGCTTTTGTTTACAAACAGCAATGCGATAAATCTGGTTTATTATTGTTTTACTGTTTCAATTGCTTTTATTAGCTACTGTTGGTAACGTGAAATTAATTTATTGAATATATCCAATAATGTTCACATTATTAATTAAGTATCGCATAATATAAAGCGAATAATGCTTTTCTACTGCCCTCATTGAACACCAAACAAGACCCTGATGCTTTGTTTTTATATAATAATTGTAAATTGTTATTTTACTACCAGGAAATTATTTGAACTATGATCTTTATCATAAGAGACTTGGAATGTTTAAATAGATTAATGAAATTCTCAATAACAACAACAGCAACATCAAATATTTTTAAAAATTTAAATTCTTAAAAATAATACAAAATCTTTTATTATTCCAGAAATTTTTGAATTTTATTATAAAAAAATAGGACATGTTTTTCAAATTCCTTGTAAGACAAATATTTTCATTTTCTTATTTATAAAATTACCATCAATCCTACATAATAACTATACTTGAAAGTTTTTTTTATCACAAACATTTTGATTGGTAATTTTATTTTATTCTGTTTTTGCTATATATGATTAGAATCAACAATAGTTATCATAGCAACAATAGGAATCTTATTTCTGTAGACATTTTAATATATAGGGTGATTACGAATAAATATTTTAATTATAAAAGTTTTCAAATTACATGATAAATTACATGGTAAATAGTCTGACATCTCCAAAATATTTTTGAGGCAAATTAATGTAAAATTTTTTGTTTGAATTTTATTTGAATCATCCGTCAGCGATTACAGTTCTGAAGACAATATTGAACGTGAATTTGAATTTCAATTCAATTTCTTTAGAATTGATCGCATACAAAGTATACCTATTCCGGCCGAAAACTATTTTGAAAATGAAAGTCTCAACAGTTGGTTTTCTGATTTTAAAAACAGAATTCTCAAGAAGAAAAAACATACCCCTGCATAAATATTAGCATAAATTAAAGAACAAAAAAATTTCTACCACATTTTAGAATAATTGACTTTAATCACTTTACAAAATTTAATCGCAAAAAAAAAAAACAAAAAAAATTCTATTGTAAAAATGTGCATACACAAAAAAAAAAACATACAAAAAAAATTGTATACGACAGTAGACAAAATTGCATTCTCTCTTCTCCCTCTCTCTCTCTTTCTCTCTCGCTCTATATTACATTTAATTTGCTGAGAACATAATTAAAGAATGTCAACCGAATATTTAACAAAAAACAAGAAAAAAAAAAATAACTAACAATAAAAATGAACTTTGAAATTTCTGTAAAAAAACAAAAAAGAAAAAATAAAGAGAAAAAAATTCTGAGCTTCTCTTTTTCACATAACATAAAGAGTTTTTGAAAAATCATGACAATGATAATAATGATTACGACGATGATGATGAGATGATGATGATAATGATAATGATGAAAGGATAACAAAAAAAAAATAAAATAAAATAAGAAAGGAATTCCTTTTCTGCTTATTAATTCAATTTATAAAGGAGCGCATTGTTATACGTAAAAAACTATTTATAAGCTTTTACAGTTTAAATCCTTTTTTTTTTCTCATTTTTTTTTTTTTAATAATATTCATGCTATTTCTACTATACATACACATATATAGTTTTTGTTTTTATGTTTTTTATTTTTATATTATTCTTTTTTTTTTCTCTCTGTTTTTGTTCTATGTCTGTACAGAAAGGAAACTTTTTGTTGGTATGTTAAATAAAAAATTGAGTGAAACTGACGTTAGGAAAATATTTGACAAATATGGTACAATAGAAGAATGTACTGTTCTTCGTGATCAAAGTGGACAAAGTAAAGGATGTGCTTTTGTTACATTTTCAACAAAACAATCAGCTCTACATGCAATTAAGGTATAAAATAATAATATACAAAATAATGTATATATATATATATATATACATATATGTATGTATATACATGAGATGAAATACATATTATATAATGTAAAGAATCCCAAAAAAATGTGTATACATTTTTTAGGTAATTTATTTTTTTATTAAAATTGAAATATAAGAGTCTATATACGAGAATGAAAATTAATTTTTAGTATAATGTTAAGTGAGAAAAATATTCAAGAGTAAAAAATTTGGAACCCCTATAAAAATTTGACTATGTTTTAATTATATTTTAATAAATTTTTCTTTATTCATAATTTCCCTGGTTCAATTACTGAGATAAAGGAATTTAATTTAAATGAAAAGTATGACACAATTTTAAGAGATTAGGGTAAACAGAAGGTGTGTTTTAAAAGAGCTTCTTACCAACGACCAAGTCTTCTAAGAAATTTACAAAAAGTTTTCACAAATTTGAGAAAGATGTTGCCTAATTTTCTGTTATTTTTTGGCTGCCTTTTAAAATAAAACATACTGTATATAAGTGTTTTCTTTTCCTAATTTTTGTATAACATTATTTCTTTTGCTAGAATTTCTATAAATTTTGGAAAATTATGGTAAATTTTCTGTATAAACAGACAAATCTAGATTAATAAAATATAAATCATATCAAAATTTATGTGAAATTATAAATCCAAAGATTATTTATGTCCGGCGTTTTTATGTCAGAAAAACTTTAAAAGTCAAATTAATTTGATTGATTTCTTCCCTACCTCACGAATAGCGAAGTATTATAATATTCTGCAACTACAAGTGAAAATTATTAAAGACAAGTTCAGAAATTTTTGATTTTATTGTATATTCTAATTCGTCACAGTCTCATACAAATTAATAAGATTAAATGGTTTAGAGATTTAGAGGACTATTGCTTATAATAATAATTTTGATATCATGAGATGGTTATTTTAAAATCTACACAATATTTCCAGAATACTTATATAAGCATCATAAATAATTAGGATCTACATTCAAATTGAGTCAAACAACAAAATAAGTCTTTGTTCCGAAATATCTACCAACATTTAATTGATAAGCACATCATAAGCTTTTGTCACTCTTCTAAATTAATTTTGTGAACGTATTAATTTTAAAAAATTCCATGTATAAATTTTCTAACATTTCTATTTATTTTTAATCTATATATTTATATAGTTACTAAATTTTGTATAAATTTTTTTGGGACACCATATTATAACTATATATGGCTATTTATGTATATATATAAATATGTGTTATATACAATCAATAAGTGTAAAAAAAATATGTCAAAAATTTTCAATTATTTAAAAAAAATTTTTTTTTTATATTATATTTTTATTTTTTCGTATATAACAATAAAATTATTTAATAAAACGAAACAAAAATAAAAAAAAAAGGCCTTACATCAAAGTCAAACAATGGAAGGTTGTTCATCACCGCTCGTTGTAAAATTTGCCGATACACAAAAGGAAAAAGAACAAAAGAAAATGCAACAATTGCAAGCTAATTTATGGAATTTAGCTACAAGTATTAATATACCATTAAGTCAAACGGCGACAACAGTTAGTACACCAATATTACCGAATACACCACAAGCAGCTAGTCCTGTTATAGGTGCTGATGCAATAACACCATCATCATTACAATTATTACAACAATTACAAGCAGTTGGTTTACAACAACAACTTTTACAAGGTATTTTTATACTTCCGTTTTTCTATTATTATTAAATTGCAATTGGTATATATATGTGTGTGTGTGTTATATGTATATCAGTTATTTTTTATTTTATATTATGACATAAAATCTAATTTTGGAATATTTAATTAAGGAAGTTTATTTATATATATTTAAAAAAAAAAAATTTGTGTAAAAAAATTTCGATTACAGAAAACCAATTTTTTATATTTAGAACGGAAGCTTTTTTATTATTAGCCAATATAATAGAAATTTAAAATTAAATTTTTTATTTTTTTTTTTTAATAATACCTTCCTATACTAAAGTTACAATCTGGGCATAGTATACAGGAAATTGTTTGTTGTTTAAATGCAAAAAATAAAACTCATTTACAATTTAATCACATTAAAAAATATGAAATTGGATTTTAAATTTTTCATATACTAATTTTGGTATACAAAATTTTCAAATATCTGTTAGATTACACGATTCTTTTCTATTTTAAAAACTTTTATACGAGTTTAGTTTATTTGTAATATTGTTATAATAGTCACATATAATTTCCTCAATTGATAGAATAAATTGGGCAACTTGCTACCATTTTTCCCAAAAATTTTGTTGTTTAAACGGAGGCTACCTTACACGCTTCTATTTCAAAATATATTTATAACTGTACGCAAGTATGTTCAACCGGTGCTCCAAACTTACCTTACCGTGTATAGCGCTAGGAAATAATGGTCTAAAATATAGACTTAAATATATGTTTTGGTCAGTGCCGAATTCTGTGTCGATTTGGCGTTGTGTGTCCGTTTTTCCGTCCATCCGAATGTACATGCCACCTGACGATAGCTTAAAAACTATTTGAGATGAGTTTACCAAATTATCGCAAATTATTTATAGTTAATGTCAGAACTCTTTTTAAATTAGATATGATCGAGGTACTGGTTCGGGTATATGGTATTTAAATTTCGCATAAAACAAATATATTATTAGGGTTATTATGTTTGATAATACTCGTTAAAATTGCTTGGCTCTTTCTGGTAGCTGCCATATAAATTTCAAAAGTTATTTGGCAATATCTCAGAAATTGTAAAAGCTATGGTATTGAAATTTCATACATGCAAATATATTAGTAGGGCCAATGTTTTCCATTAAATTGATTAAAATTCCTTGGCTCGTTCTGGTAGCTGCCATACAACTTAAATAGTAGTTTGGCGATATCTTAGAAAATATTCTTCTTAGGACTGAAATTTTGCATAAATTATTATGGTAATACGGCAACTTAAAGTCATAGGCTGCCCCAAAATCAACTATGGCATATTTATTCTCACATAGGATAACAAATTCGTACGGGTATCACAGAGTTAACAAAAATGTTCATCAAAAATGTTCAATAATTGTTAGTACTTAGCTGTATTCATAAAATTAAAATAAATGCATTTAAAAAATATAATTAAATAAAAATTTTTGGAAAAACCAATGGCTTTTATATAAATATTTTTAGAATATAATAAGCTCCAATATAATTTATATCCCTATATCCATTATGTGTAATATGTATATGATATAAGGTATTATTTTTATAGTTTAAATAGGGTTATGAGAAAATTTCTAAAGTATGTACCAAAAAAAATATTTATAAACTATTTTTAATATGTGGTAAATATAGTTATTTATAAGCTACTATACTCTCTATTATCATTATTATTATAGTAAAATTATGTAAACTTATGTATATATAGAAAATTCAGTATGGATTCTAAGTTAATTATTTATAATCTTAATTGAAATGTGGATTATATCAGTTGGTTGAGCTTTTCTATATTATAGATAGATATATACAAATATATAGAGAATAATATGTTGATTGATTGAGGAATTATTTTTGACTACTATCTATTACACTAAAAATATAATAATATGTTGCATATTATTTATTATTATAGTTAGTTAAGTAGATTTCGTTTTTCTTGTATTTGTTTATGGAAAATATTAGTACAAACCTATATTAGTAACGAGAATTTTAGGAATAGGGTATTAATTAATTAATAATGTAGAACCATGAAGATGCAATTAGATTAAAAGTGTTTTAAAATTTTTCATTAAAAAATTTTTTTTAAATTTTATGGAATAGACGAGCATAATAAAATACATATTGTATTAGAGAAATTATAATTATCCGTTACATGCAAAATTGGGTCAAGTCGATTTTTTCAGTTTTTTGAGTTTTCTATAAATTTGCATTTCCCATTATTTTAACTATATTCTCCTTAAATTTTGTTAATGTACTTTAATTATTTCCAAAGTTATAGGCAAGATTATTCAAAATTTCAGTTATTTAAATTGTCTTTTAACTGTCAAGAATTACACTTTAAAATCACTTTCTAACAACAACAAATTGTAATGCATCACGAGTATTACTGGTTATATACAAGTTTACAAATTAATTCAACCTCTTCATCACACGTATATAATGATGAATGAATTTTTCTTGTCACGCAATAAGATCTTTTCATTTGATTTTTTTACGCTTGATAAAGTTAAAATCGTTATACTACGTGATAAATATACATATATATTTTTTATTCTCAATAACTCAATTATTCAAAAGCAAAAAAAAAAATGAATAAAGTATGAAGAATTTCTAAAGGTTTGAATTTTACTTACACTGCTTACACCTAATTCTTCCATATTTTTATAATGTGTTGGTTAAAAAAGTAATTGAGTAGTGATTTTTCGTCTTAAATAAAATATACTCTCAATTAAATGCAAAGAAAGTAGGTAATATTACGTATTAACTGGTTAATGTAAAAAAATTGCATATTTTTAGGATACTCATTAATAATTTGAAATAAAATTTTCCCACATTTTGATGTTATTAATTTCCGTTTTAATTTTAGGACTTGGTGCACAAACAAATAATGATACAACAACAGCAGCAGCAGCTGCTGCTGCAGCCGGCTTACTACCACAAATGACTGTACAAAATTTAGCAGCAATTGCAGCAATGGCTCAACCTACCTTAGCGGCGGCGAATACCGTCAATCAACCGAATAATAATCAATTATCGAATGCTGCAGCTCTTTTATGTAAGTTGAATTTTGATTGTTATTCAATATATTTAATATATAAAAGATTTTATAATATTCGAATTGAATTTATTATTGAAATTTTAAAAAATAAATTATATAAAATAATTTAATCGCATCATCAGTTAAATAACCTTAAACAATTGAAATTGGGATTTTGAATACGAAATTTTATATTATGTAATTTTTTCTCCATTCGTTGACAATTCTTCTTTTTTCTTCTCATACAGGTCTGTTAGGAAAAACTAGTAATACAGGTGAGATAAACCAAATTGAATATCAGAATTAAATTATTTATTGTTTTTTTTCTGTTTTTTTTTTGTGTTTATTTCATCGTTATAATTTTAAAAATTAAATTAAATTTATTTTATTTATAATCATCAACCATTTTGTATAGGAATTTTGTTCATTCATTCTTTTTGTTTTTTTTTTGTTTTCAAATACCCGCACATGTTTCTGTTAAATGAATTTTTCCCAGCTATTTTTGTTTTAATTAAATTAACAATTATTATGTTGCAATATCATTTATATTTTATCATTTCGTTGTTGTTTCTTTTTTCGATCTTTTTTGTTTTAAATGATTTGTTTATTAAATTAAAATGTAAATGAACCACACACTCTCTTAAAATTCATACAAAATTATTGTAATTATTTGTTTAATTTATAGTTTTGTTGTAAGCGACAAATTTTGCTATAAATAAATTTAAATGCTTTTGTTCAGATGTCAATAGTCCGAATGTAATTTAAGCTTTTCTAATAATATTCGAAATTTGAGTTTAAATTGGACTTTTTTTTAATGGCCGAAATAAAAGTTTAATTAAGCAGCGGGAACTTAATTTGAAATTTTGAACAATATTCGAAATCGGAGTTTTATTTTAGTTTTTAATCAACGGCCGAAATTTGAAAATAGAACCTTAATTTTAAATTGTCTTCAGTATCCGAAACGGGAGTTTAATGTGATATTTTACTTAATAGTCATAATAGGGGGTTAATTTGAACATTTTCTCAATAGTCGGAATCGGCGCAGTAATAAAATTTTGTTATTTTAAGTTTACGTTATTATAAAAGTTGGCCACCATGCCTGTGTATTCTCAATTTAAGTAGTTTTTAAGACGTTCTTTCATTTTTATTATTAGCGGAGCACTTTCAGGGGCACAATAAAAACAGGACAGTTAATTTTTTATGGGATAGTCGCGTTTTTAATGTTAAGTATAAACCGTATCGAAGGTTACCACCCCGCTGAAATTAAGAATTTTTTCACCATACTATACTTTTACTGCTGTAAGTGTATAATTTTTTCAACATACTATGCTTTTATTGTTGTGAGTTTATATTACATTACGATTTTGTGAAAGTCGGCCGAATCCACGTTATGTTTTATTGTTTGTGTCCAATTCTTGCTTTTCAAATTACAATGTTGCCGTTGCGTGAGTAAGATCGTACCATATGTTGTTTTTTGATGTTAAGTTCAGTGATTAATGCCCTGTATATGTACTAAATTTTCAATAATTTAAAATTATTTATACAACAGTATAATTGTGACAGCTAGAATTTTGCAATTGTTCTTTCATTAAAATTTTTTATTATAAATTATTTTATATTATCAAATTAAAAAAAAATAAATGTATGTAATTTATTTATAATAAACTCAACTTAAATGCTATTAACATTTATATAATATAAAATATACATAATATAACAATTTATTATTTAAAATAAAATAAATATATTATACTAATAATATATATATGGAAAAAGTTAAACTCATAAATTATGGCACTCATAATTTTTGTAACAATAATAGTATAACAAATACCTGCACACATTTATACATATTATATATTTTATTTAGATATACAAAAATATAATTATCATTATATGTAAATTTTAATATTATGAATGTGACGAGCTAATTGTCGAAAGATAAGTTATAAATATTATTTACCGAATAGCCGAAGCTTTTCAGCAATTCCAGAAACAAAATAAGTCTAACGTAATTTAGTATACGGGGCTTACTGACCAAGAAGCTAGTCCCCCTGAAAAGAGTGATCGAGGTGGAAACATTTGATCTTTTGATTAGTTCGGCAATTTCTTCGGTTCAATTTTGCTCGCAGCACCTCTGCATAAGTTTATTTTTCGAAAGAGGCTCCAAAAGTTAAATTTTTTATACAAAATTTGTGTGATACATATAAGTATACAACTATTATCTATTAGATCTATGAGATTTTGAGTAATATAATTTTTAAATTTGCATTATATCATAGAACCGCATTATGGACAGTATGTGTGTGAGAAGATTTTAGAAAAATTCTGGTTTAAATTCTCAATTTTTCATTATAGTAACGGCGGAAGTAACAACAGTAGTTGTTCTTATATTATTTTAGTTCTAATTTCATGCTCATTTGTTGCACTTATTTTCTTTGACTGACTAACTATATACTATTTTTCTAACTGATGTCTATTTAATAGAACGAAATTTACGTTTCTTTATTGACTGTTTTACGCAATGCTTTGTAACATACCACCAAATACTTTAGCCTAAAAAGTCACCTGAATATATACAGGATTATTCAGAAAAGTATATAACAACATATACCATTGGTTAGAGAGTCAAAAATAGCTAAAACTTTTGTTCCGGACTAAGTGTTAAATCTCAAAGGTTTCCGCGTTACGCAGGGATTTCAATGAATTCTCATGAAATTTTTGCTTGTCCAATTATTTTTTTTTTTGCTTATAACTCCTGTTTCGAAAGAGATATAGGCTTCAAACAAGCAATTCTTGAAAGGTCTAGTGAAGGGCTTAAAATCAGTATGTATATAAATATGTATTTTAATAACTATATATAAATATACTTAAAAACTTAAGATGTCGCTAATTTATTCTAATTATTTCATATACACACACACTATTTTGATGCGATTTATTTGGCATTAGGGCTTGTTTATACAATAAAGAATAGAATTCAAATTTTATAATGTGAATGGTTAAAATATTCTTTTCATGTACACAAAATGTGAATATGTGCGTATGCTATATATTCTATAGCCATGTCAGTATGTAAATCACATATTTATTATATTATGTATATATAAAAGAAAATAGAACAAAAAAAAAATATGTGAAATATAATAAAATAACAAAGTATTTTCTATTATATTATCAAAAAAGTAAATCTAAGCTGATGATCAAAAAAATATTATAAATAGTAAAACTTGAAAATTATATTCAATTCTATAATATATCGGAACAAGAGGGCATATTAAACTATTCAAAATAATAAAATAATTTATTTAACAAAAGGAATATTATAGAAACATTAACATAAATACAATAGATATATATATATATATATTTATATATATCCTTATGTAATATATATAGTAGAAAAAATAAAACATTATTAAATAATAAATTACAAGAAATAGCCTTAAAATAACAAACAACGTCAATAAAATCGGTTTATTATCATTTTATTCAGAGTATCCTTTTTATTTTTTCCTACTTTATTATATTATTTTTCTTCTCCATATTCTTATTGTTGCTGTTGTTTTGTGTGTTAGCTTCATTTTCTTTTGGAAACGATTAAGTAAACGGGAATATGAAATAAATATATTGATTAATTTTAGTAAATAACAATAAAATAAACTTATGAAAAGGTTACCCAAACAAAAAGGTGATGCTGGCAAAAGATCCTTTTTGATTTTTTTTTGTTTTTGTAATTTTTCATACTTACGTTATATTATGGTCAATCATACAATATATCATATTATGTTAAAGTCGATATAGATGGTATTAATAGAATTATTGAATATATATATAAATATATATATATATATATATATATATATATAGAAATTAAAAATATTATTGAATTATGACTTTCATTTAAACTGTATAACAAAATACAACATGTAGGTATAGTATATAAGATGATGGTAAGGTAATTTAATATGATAGCATGGCAAGTCTATAATATTTTTTAATTTTTTTTTTGTTATATTTTCTTTTGTATAATAGTAGAACAATAAATTATATTTTAGTAATATTATAAGAATTCGGTAAAATAATATTAAAATATTTTTGAAAAAGAAAACCATAAATCTGTAATTGTTGTATAGAGGAAAAACTCGAAGTCGAAATGACCAACAAAAGAAATTGAAATTCAATGAATTTTGAATTCTTCGTTTTTAAGGCTTTATACTTCGAAATTTGTGTCCAATTTCACCTATTTTGCACATTCCAATTTTGCACCTATTTTGCAAGAATAATCCCAAACTCTGTTGAATTATTTGAGACGAAAATTTTTATTTATACCCACTTCTCTTTGAATTATAGCTCACTTATAAACTATAGTTAATTATATTAGTAGATAAATTTGTGAATTTATCAGACGCAAATAGAAATGAACTGTAATTTTTTCAGCATGATAAAATCATAAATAAATTTTAGAAAATGGAATAGACCTCTAAAATCTAATTGTATACCAGTTAAATCAGTTTTAGTTTTTTTTTTCAATTTTTGGGAATGAAATTGACATCATAAACGGCAAGTTTACAAAATGATTTCATATTTTCGATATTTATTTTTTCTAAAATATTAAATTTTATCGGATTTAGGTGACCGTAATAATAAGCTAGAATTTATGAATGTAATTACTAAAAAATTTTAATCTTTATACTAATTACAGTTGAATTCATTTTTGAATTAAGATTCTTCCTAAAAGTATGCAATATTTACATTGTTTTAAGAAATTATACTTTAATAGGAGGGTATGTGTTTCAAAATTTAGACATAAAAATATATTATTTCGGAGCGTTATGGGTTTGATGGACTGTATTTTTTAATCTTATCCTAAAATCAAATAATTTTTAATTTAAATTATTTCAAATATTTCAACTTAAAGTTAATTAAGTTAAAAGAAATTAAAAAAAAATTAAAATTTCACAAACAGAAATCGAATAGAACACCCACTCAAAAATATGAATGAAAATAATATTTATTTTAAAAATATTCAAGATTGCCCACAAATATTTGCAGTATTTAGCAATGTTGCTTTTTAGCACTTTCCAAAAAAATTTTGAAAAAAAACTGCTTACTATTTTCATTCTGTCCGTCCGTCCGTCCATGGACATACGTACAAAACTTCTACACTCTTGAAGATAGAAAGCTGAAATTATATATATATATATATATATATATATATATATATATATATATATATGTGCATAGAGCTTTGTTCAAATTTTGAAAAAACAGC